GGTCAACCCAAAGAAGAAGCATTACTAGCTTTTCAAGGAGGAGAGGTGTTGGGGATCCACGATTCCCCAAGATTGGTTTCTGATTTTATTTACATTAATTTATTAACCTTTGTTTTGTTACGCTTTTATCAAGTCAAGGTCAACCATGACTTGAGATAGCTTTCAAATTACTTTCGATTTCACGACTTCTCAGCACGTGGCTCACGTGAATAAAGCTCTCTACTCGAGCTCTGTTCTTGTTCTGGGTATTAGCCTGGGAAGGTCGGTTCTAGCTGTCAGCAAGGGATCTGGTACCGCTATTTGAGTGGTATTCTCTATTGTTACGGGCAAACGTAACAGCAACAGAATACCTTTTAAATTTGCAGAACAATTTCTTCTCGTGAACAGAGGAGCAAGTTTAAGATTTTGAAGGGAAAACACAAAAAAAGTAGTATGGAGATGTCTGTAGTCAAGTGAGGCAATTGTGAAGGCCCTTTTGGCGACATTAAACTAACAGTCGCCCACGCCATGCTAACGGCTAACGCAGGTGCGTTCACAGTCCTCCTTAGTGAGGAAATCGTTCCTGTTCGCGCCACATCTTGAGAAAGGAACACGAATGCAGGTGTTAGAATAAACTACGTAGCTCCACCGTGGAGGGTTAAATCTGCAGCCGCCGATATCGATGCGAAGGTAGCACTGATTGACTTTCGCTGAAATCGACACAAAAAAGCGCCACTTCATTGTTATTCAAGACTTCCAAACACGAGCATTTCACGACAATGACAAATCTACGTAGTCAAGCACTGTGGAATGCAACTGCCTACCTTCAGAGAAACTAACCACGCAAACTGAGAGAAAGAGGATTTCAACGAACATGATTAGACCAATGTCTGATGAGGCACATTCCACTTCCCCAGATTAAATACTTCGTAGTTGGATCACTGCTATGTGCTTTTTTGTGTGGTTCTATGTCACTAGGTTTTGCTATCTTGGCAACATTGAATGTAGGGATTTGTGGCGAGGACTAGGAATTGTATTCACTTTCGTCCAACCCACACAAATCCTCTGCCATGTATCGCTTTCTCAGTCCAAATGGCAACCCTCTACAAAAAGAAAAGATCAAGAAATTTAAAAAATTTAACGTTTTGCCAGGGTTTCCAAATTTGAAATTAGCACTCCATCTCAGCACCCATGTGCTGAACATTGAGGGTCAGCGTAAATAATGTTCAGGAGGCACGTCTGCCAACCTTCATTTCGAATTTAGTGCACAAAATGAAGCCAACTCCCATCGTTCAATTCGTTGTTGGCTACTAAAAATGTTACGCGTTTTTAGCTGGAGACGTTAAGTGGAAATTCAAACTTCGAAATTCGCAGAACGCAAAATATCCCTACATGTTTTTTTCTTTTTGGTAGAACATGGCCGCTTGAAGTTAGAAAACAAGCGATACACTTGGGCAAAATTGAATTGCCCTCCGTGAGCTCGCTACAAATCCGTACATTTAATGTTACCAAGGTGGCACCGCCCAGTGACATTAAACTACACCAATTCCCACTTACACCTTGTAAAATCCTCAAGGTATTTAACCTGGAGGACGTGGAGATAGGCACAGAAATTGGCCCAGTCATGTTCATTGAACTCATCCTATTCACAATTTCATTTGCCAGCTTCACTGAAGGTAGGCAGACGTTTTTACACTGTGCACTTTTACGCAGCTTGACGTTCATTTGTAACACCTAATCCTAGTCACACTAGCAGCATAGACAGATTCTCCTCCAAACGCGCGTTTAGCATCATAAGGCCGTTTATTTCAACAAGTGAGGTCTTGTGTAGCCAAGAAATTGTGTGGCATTATGATTCAGTGGGACATTTTGACCCAATCCACATCACGTTTAAGGGCTCAGTCGTTTTGTGCTTCTTACAGGCCTAAATCCAGTGTGTTTTATATTGCTTTTCAGCTATCATTGATCAGTGTTTAGTTCGCCACAAAGAAGTCCCCTGTAGATACACATCCCGGCGATGGACCTACGACGAGGCCCTGGACATTTGCCTTCCCTTCGTCTTCGGCAGGTGTGTCGAGCACAGAAACAATTTCAAAACGAAGGAGGAGTGCGTGGACACATGCGTGCGCGGTAAGCGTGCCCAGGTTGCATAAACGCTCCATGTCGCAGAAATGACTTCGTCATTGTGGGACTCCGTGCTGCTTGTCACGTCAATTCTCCTTGCCATTGGTTGTAGTCTGAAGGCCAAATTTTCTCGTACGAAGCTAACTTGTATGCAAAAGGTAATTTCGTTGACAGGCAAACGTCTTCAACAACCGTGACTCTAATTTTTATCGCGGCGAAAAGTGAACAACATTTGCCGCCATATTTTGTAAACGCTTGCGCATTAGCTTGGTTATAAGTAAAGCGTGGACAATGCGGAGTCCGTCATTAAGCTCCTGGGCTGTAGCAAGTGATTTTACACTTTAAATTGTGGCGGAATAATGTTCTTTTGGCACGCGACGCGTGCAAAGTAGGTGTGTAGTGTGAACGAAAATTGATTAAATTGGAATCCCAGATGCAATAATTACATATTTTAAAGTTAACAGAAGGAAGCCTAATAACGATCTGTGCTTTCAAACCTGTCGTCTGTGCTTTGTGGAATCGACACTGTTAACTGCTTTAACGGACATATTCCGACCATGGAGAACACAATCATTTCAAAGCGGGATGGAGCGTCGGGTGTTTTCCCAGCCATTTTAGCATAAATGTGGGTCAAAGGGGGAAAAAATTCTTGTTTTTTCTTGCAGGACGAATTGACCTCTGCAGTGCCCCGACCACATATGGTCCGTGTCGCTTTGACGTGCCTGTGTGGGGCTACAACCCAGCACTACAAAAGTGCGTGCGAGTTGCGCTCGGCTACTGCCGCGCGACCAAGTACTACTTCGACACGAAGGCGGACTGTGAAAAGGAATGCATGCCGTGGTACCAGGAGGTCTGAGGTTGCCGCATTTTGCTCCGTGTCTACACGCAGTCACTTGTCTCACGTTTTTGCCTTGTTGTCGATTGCAGCTACTATTGCCAAATTAGTTTATCCATGAGCATTGAACTCTTTGATAGCTTACGTATGCAATATGGGCTGCATTGGTGCTACCTTCAGTGGCAGTTCGTGTCAAGTGAAACAATAAAAATTACCCTGCCACTTCTACTGACGAATAATGTGGGTCGAAAGATGATGCATTTGACACGATATAACGAGAAATCGAATCAGTGAGATTTGTCGTTCACGAACTCCGTTCGAGCTGAAACGCAGATGACCCATTGGCATCGCAGTCTCTTTCAACAAGCCATAGGATTTTGTCGAGGGATGCAGCATTCAGATTATGTAAAAAATTGACAGGTGACATCAAGCATTTTGACCGTGATAGCAGACAAGATTACTTTGCATTGGAAATACTCGGCTTTGATTTACTGAGTGATGTTTCAAAGACATTGCTGGCGAGCGTTGGCAACATCAACGCAAATGATCATGCGATCAATGGGAAGACGTAAGTGGAAGGTGTTCGCATATCCGGTTTGTTGAGGGCCCCGGCATGTTGTCTTGAACCATGCCGGGGCCAATGCGATTATCTAGGCCGAATACGTTACCTTGCGTTCCCGCGCAAATATAGAAGACCGGAGTGGGGAAGGCACAACCGTTTACTAGACCGCTCAACCAAGTTGTGTCGTG